AGATAGATAGATAGATAGATAGATAGATAGATAGATAGATAGATAGAAGGTAATACTAGAGGGAAGGTGGGGGGGGTGGTAGATATCAAATACATATCTCTTGCAGAAGGGCCTGTACAAGCTGAGTCTGGAAGGAAGTCAAAGAAACTAGAAGGTAGAAGTGAGGAGGGAGAGCATTCCAAACCAATAAAAAGGAACATAGCAGGGAGATTGAGTGTTGTGTCTGAGGTACAGCAAGAAGGTAGGGTGTCATTGGACTATAATATTTGTGGAGGGAAGTCAAGTGTAAGAAAACTGGAAAGGTAGAAAGGTGCCAAGTCTGAAGGGCTTTAAAAGCCAAATATAGCATTTTATATTAGATCCTAGAGGTAATAGGGAGCCAATGGAGTAAGTTGAGTGTGTGGGAGAGGGTGGGCATGGTATTAGTGTCAAGGTCAGACCTTTGCCTTAGCAAGATGTCTTTGCAACGTGGGTGGAAGATGGATTAGACTGGGGAGAGATTTGATGCAAGGAGAGCGGTGTGAGGTAATGAAGTACTGTACCAGGATGGCAAATATGTGAGTGGAGAGAAGGGGAGGTAAATGAGACATTGCAAAGATGGAGAAAAGATTTTGGCAATAATGTGGATATTTGTACTGAGAGAGTGAAGAAAACAGGGTCACATTGAGATTAAAAGCCTGAGTAATGGGGCAGCCAAGTGGTACAATGGATAGAGCACCAGCCCTGGAGTCAGGAGGATCTGAGTTCAAATCCAGCCTCAGACCAAACACTTGACACTTACTAGCTGGGCAAGTCACTTAACCCTAATTGCCTAAAAAAAAGAGAGAGAGAAAGAAAGAAAGCCTGGGTAACACGAAGTATGGTAGTGACTTTGATAGTAGTAGGAAAGTTTGGAAGAAGGGAAGAATGGCGGGGGCAAGATGGAAAAATGAGTTTTGTTTTTGATTTTGAGAGGCCTAAGGGTCATCCATTTTGAGATATCTAAGAGTCAACAAGTGATACTAGACTGGATAAATGATATTAGACTAATACTCTTTCCCTTTTGATTCCCTAAGAAGACAGCTCTGTGACCAGTCCTGGGTTCCAACCTCTTTTCATTTTTCAGATGACCTGAACAAGGTAACTCCTCCAAAAGTGACTGTGTTTCAGCCATCCGAGGAAGAAATTGAGGAGAAGGGAAAGGCCACACTGGTCTGTCTGGCCACAGGTTTCTACCCTGACCTTGTGAAGCTGAGCTGGTGGGTGAATGGGCAGCAGACTCAAGTTGGGGTCAGCACAGACCCTCAGCCCTCCAAGGAGCAGCCTGATAACGACTTCTCCAAGTACTCGATGAGCAGCCGCCTCCGGGTTTCTGCTCCCTTCTGGCGCAATCCCAAGAACAGTTTCCGTTGCCAAGTATTGTTCCATGGGATCTCAGAGGATGAGCCCTGGACCGGTAACACAAGCAAACCCATCACCCAGAATGTCAGTGACCAGATCTGGGGAAAGGCAGGTGAGAACATCATAAACTGAACCAGGATGGAAATGGTGTGGGTGTTGAAAAAGATAGATCCAGAGAAGGAAACCAAAGGAGAGAGAGAGAGATCTGGAAGAGAGGGTGCCAAGGAAAAGATAGAAGATAATCCACAGTCAAAGACAGAACAGAGAGAAGACAGATAATCAAATAGGCAGAGAACCAAAATAGTCTGTCTCCAGGGATCTCCCCAGGTTTCATGTATTAAGAGAGGGGAAGAATTATTTCCCTGGAAATAACCAAGGCCACTTCTTGGGTAAGATATCAACCCAGGTGCAGCCTTCCTGCTCAGTCACAATTAGAGTCTTACAGAGAGCCTCCCTCCAGCCTATCAACCTGTGCAGCTCAGCAATTCACAGTGTCCAGCTGACCTTGCATCCTTCCATTTGCCCAAGATCACAGGGATTTTTTTTTAATGACGGCATCAAGGGAAGAAATACAGGACCAGGGTTAAGTCAGAATATATCAGAATTTATATTTTATTTGAATTATGAATACTTGTTTCATGATTTATTTTGGGCCCTAGGTCTATAAGCTTATATTAACCTATGTGGCCTACCTAAAAGACAACATCCTTGGGAAATTCAAAGCTTCTCATTTATGTCCTCAATTTTTTCTTTCAGATTGTGGTGTTACCTCTGGTAAGTGAAACTATCTTTTCTTCCTGTCTCATACTCTTGTGCCAACAACCATAGCCTAAGTCAGCTAGCTAGTTAGTCAATGAATATTTATTAAGCAACTACTGCAGGTAGTGCTAAGTGCTTAGGATCCAAAAAAGGTAAAGGTCAGTCCCTGCCCTTGAGAAGCTTACAATCTAATAGGGGAAGAAATATATAAATAGCTATGAATATGTATAGCAAGTCCTTCCTGCCCTATCAAGTGGTGGGAATATGGGACTAGGAAGGCTAGAGATGCTTTCTTATAGATATTGGGTTCCAACCCTCACAGAGTCCTATCAACAAAGTATCCAGTCTGCCACCTTCTTCTACGAGATCCTACTGGGGAAAGCCATGCTGTATGGCCTGCTGGTCAGTGCTCTGCTGTGGAGAACCATGGTAAGGGCATGAAAAGGGTGGAAGGCAAATGAGACAGATCTGTTATCTAGAAGCATCCCTTGGGAGTCTTCTTGATTTACTAAGGGTAGAAGGGGGGGGGAGGGAGAAGGGGAGTAATCCCAAAAACTCCCAGAGAACACCTCCAAAATGACTTGAATTTTTTCAACTTACAAATGGGATTGATGAGAGTGGGAAATTCACATTGAAACTTAAATATGGGGTGGGCTAGAATCAGGGAACTACAATAAGAGCCTGTTCTCCTACAGAGACACCACTTAAGTATTTCCATCTTCTGAGCTTCCCCTTCTGCAACACATCTCTTCCTTCAGCTCCATTCCCCACAGCCATGTTACCTGGAAAACCTATAAAGTGGTAATTGTATCTCTTCCTCAGGCCAAGAAAAAACATTCCTGAGGCCACTTGTGGAGATAACAACAGGGAGGAGAGAGCAGGAGAATTCAGCACCCATCTTGGTTACTGCTTTCCCTATTCCTATCCTGTGTTCCAGAAGAACTATTATTTCCTCGGTTCCCATCTTCATCTTTTACAGGTCTCCTCAAAAAGAACTCTGAAGCTCACAGAGAAGAAGAATGGTGGCTTAATCCTGAAGAAATAAAAAAGGTCTTGCCCTGCTTAGCTGTTACCAACTGTGTCTCCATCTTTTCTCTTTTTTTTCACATCATTGACTTACATTTGGAAATAATCTTCCAAGTCATGACATAGAGTTCATGAAAGTGTTAGAGTATTTCATTAAAAATGTCAACAGAGTTTCCCCACCATGAGAAGATTACCCACTGTGACATTAGCATCCCTTTCCTAGAGTGCCATAAAATGCAGTTGGCAATCTCACCTGTCCTTACACAGGCACTCCAGAAGTATACCCAGGCCAATGGACGCTAATGACTATAGATACACTGGGGAGAAAGCTGCACACAAGGGAATTGCAATATCCAAACTAGTAAGGCAGTGTCTGAAGAAACAAAAAACAGAGTTCTGGTGTGAAGGAGAATTGAACCATATTGTAGTAAAGGGCTTGAGATGATATTGAAAATTAATTAAACAGTGGAAAATGAGGGAAAATGAAGGGAAGGGAAGCGAAGGGAAGAATAATAAATTGACTAAGTTGGAAACAAGAAAGCTGCACTGTGAGGCAATCTGGACCTGGGTATGAAGAGGAGAAAGCCCGCATGAGGGACAGCTCAGGGAGAGATGTATTTTATATAGTTCATAGATATAGTTCATACCAAATTTTCATCTAGAGTTAATAATTGGGGATTGAAGTTAATGGGAGAGATTGGGACTGGATATATAGAGTTTAGAGTTAACTGCATAGAAATTAATAAGAATCTGAAGAGAGTGAAATGTAGACTAAGAAAAGGAACCATGGCAGAATCAAATCACTAACAATAAGAGAAACAAATCAAATTCTTAAGTTTCAACTCACACCAAGCAATTTGGTAAAAATGACATAAGATGGAAATACTCAGTGTTGGAGGGACTGTAGAAAGCTAGGCATCCTAATACACTACTGGCGGAGCTAGGAAGTTGGTCCAAACACTCTGAAAAGCAATTTATAATTATTATTTTAAAAAAATTAATTGACTAAAATGCCCATACCCTTTCATTTGGAAATACTACTGCTAAGCATATTCCTCAAGGAGGTCAAAGACAGGAAAATAAGTCCCATAAAATATTCATAACATCATGCTTTGTAGCAGCAAAGAATTGAAAACCAAATAGATATCTTTTAAACAAATCAGGTTACATTATTGTAATGAAATATTACTGTAGCATAAGAAACTATGAATATAAGGAATTCTCAGGCGCATGAGAAGACATATGAACTGATACAGAATAAAATAAATACAACAAGAAAGACAACATATCTAATGAATACAGAACTGTGGAAGTATAATGACTAATATAGGTCTAGGAGAATAAATGGGAAAATAGACCTACCTCATTCTTTGTAAAAGTGAGGAACTCTAAGTGGGCAATATTGTATAAACTGTCATGCCTGCTTGATGCATTCACTATTTTTGCTCTATTCCATTATTTATTCTCTTTTGCTGTTTTTTTGTTTGTTTTGTTCTCTTTTTTTTGCTAAGCAATGGGGTTAAGTGACTTGCCAAGGTCACACAGCTAATAAGTGTCAAGTGTCTGAGGCCGGATTTGAACTCAGGTCCTCCTGACTCCAGGGCTGGTGCTCTATCCACTGTGCCACCTATGTTGTTGTTTTTCTTTACAAGTCATGACTCACTAGGGTAAAGGAGGAATGAGGCATATATTAAGAAATGAAGGTAAAATAAAAAAAATTTTAAATCAAATAAAGAGTAATCATTTGTAACTTAGGAGAGAACAGTTTTAATTCAATGGTAGGGTCAGGAAAAAAGAAATAAGCATTTATTAATGCTTACTTTTATTATGCTTATTATTAAGCAGCTACTCTGTACCAGGGACTATGCAAAACATTTTACAAATATTATCTCATTTAATCCTCCCAACAACCCTGAGAGATAATTTCTATTATTGTCCTCATTCTATAGTTGAGAAAACTGGCACAGATGGAGTCACATAGCTAGGCAGTGTATGAAATTGGATTTGAACTCAGGTTTTTGTTTGTTTGTTTGTTTGTTTAGGCAATTGGGGTTAAGTGACTTGCCCAGGGTCACACAGCTAGTAAGTGTCAGGTGTTTGGTCTGAGGTCAGATTTGAACTCAGGTCCTCCTGACTTCAGGGCCAGTGCTCTATCCACTGTGCCACCTAGCTGCCTTGAACTCAGGTTTTATTGGCCCCAGGCCCAGTGCTCTATCCACTGCACCACCTAGCTGCCTCAAAAACCAAGTTATAAGGGGGAATGGAAATGTTGGTAGACCTGACTCACCCAATCACTAGGTCAAATGGCTACTTTTTAACATGAGTTTTCAGCACATTTAAATAGCCCGGAGAGTCATTCCCCTCTCCAACTCCTATAAGACTGATATCTGTATTACTGAATTTATCACTTGGCCAGAAGTATGCTGTCTTTCTTTAAACTCTAGTAGCTGAAGGGAGGAGGATAGAAACCTGACTTCTTCCCTCCTCCACCTACAAACTGCAATCTCTTTGAAGACAGGGACCAGGTCTATATATGTATGTCTTAAGCTTTTCCTGTCTCCCTCTGTAGGAAGGTTCTCTACACTCACATAGTGAGTGGGTCCCATTTCACCTGCCCCATCCTATTTCTGCTCAACATATGACCTTTATTCTTGCTAACTCCCTTCCCCTGGGAACTGTGATTTACTAAATGTCATGCAACTGCTCCCACTATCAAGGATGTCTCCTCAATGGGCCAGAGTATGCAGAATGAGAGAAACTAAGGGCTATCTCAGAGCCTGGAAGCCTGTTCTGACTCAACACCTGATTTGTCCCAGTCTGAACAGATGTTTGTATTATAATATCATGGATTTGGACCTGGAAGGGACTTCAGAGGTTTTGTGGCCCAAATTCCTTATTTTGTAGGTGAGGAAACCAAAGCCCAGAGACTTTAAGTGACTTTCTCCAAGTCATGGAGTTGGGATTTGAACTCAGGTCTTCTTGGTTCTATGTTCTACATTCTCACCACTATACTTTTCTTGCTACTCATTTTCTGAAAGGACTCCTATCCTGTAGAATGGGCTGAGAATAGATGAGATAAAAGGATTCAGAGGAAATCCAAGAGCCATTACCAAAGTATGACAGATTAGGGGGTTGCCCCAGGCCCAAGACTTTGGAGGGCCCTGCTTTCTGACCAGTGACTTAAAGAGGCAGAAAATGTAGTAGAAAGGCATTAGATTAAAAAAAAAGATGCTCTAAAGTCCACATTCATACAATTAGGGTATTAATACTGACTAATGCCAAGTAAAGAGATAGGATTACATCTCCCTACTGCCACACAGACCCCTTACTCATGCTACTCTTATTTGACTTCTTTTCTTCTTTTTGGAATACCTTGAGATTCATGTAAACCTATTTTTTTTTATCAGTACATGGAATTGTATGGTAGAGGGCCCTCCTTGGTAAAAGAACTCCCCAATGCAAATCAGCAACTATTCTGCTATTTATTGTCATAGAGATGTCAAAGGAGCCCTTAGATGTTGTGACCTGCCCACAGTCACATAGTTAATATGTGTTAGAGGCAGGACTCAAGCTATGTCTTTCTGACAGTCTCCTAATCTCTATCCATTTAGACATGCTGCCTCTCAAACTGATTTTACCTTTTATTTTTCCGGTGGGGGGAGTCTTTAGGGAGAAGAAAAACCAGGGTGGTTGGTTCCAGGGAAACACCTCATGGGGAAAACCTTGTTGTCTTTGTATCCCCAGTGTTGAGCTCTTAGTGAGTTCTTTATAAATGCTAGTTGATTGATTGACTCCAAGATTCTTTTCATTACAATCCTACATCTAGACCAGGGTTCCTTAATCTTTTTTGTGTATTTTTAAATAAATAAATGCTCTTAAATAAAATAAATTGTTTTTAAAACATTTAAAATAAAGTTTAAATAAATAAATGGTTTTTAAATAAAACACATAGGAATACAAAGAAATTCATTCTATTGAAATACAGTTATTGAAATATCTATGAAAAAAGTCAATGGACCCAGATTAAGAATCTATGTTCTAATAACTGAGATCATCTTCAGTGATAAGTGGACTGTTGCCTCCTCAAGTGGCAAAAGTAGAAAAGTAAAGCATTTCATCTGTAATGTTCATTTGAATCTCAATCACGTGGGCCTTTGGCCACTCTCAGCCATGTGGTTGTCAAGTCAACTTTGAATACTGCAATGACAAGGAACCACTGAGGAATTACATTATTCTTTTTAGGGAGAGTTCAAAGTGTTAAGAAATACTTCTAGGGTTCTGCCCTCTAGGGATAAGCATTTCCTTCCACATAGTGTATGACAAAATTTGTAAGTGCCCTGACTATTCTAGTTGCCCTCCTGTGGACTTGATTCAAATTATTAATGTCTTTCTGAAAATGATACCTAGAACTGAACATAATAGAACAGGTGGAGTGTGAATTGGCCAAATTATGTAAAACATCTATCCTCTCCTTTTACTTCCTCTGTAGGGAATACTATGAGATCTGGAGGAAAACAAATTCCATCTGAGAAGGCAGGGAAAAGAGAGACTCAAGAAGTTAGAAGAGGAACACAAGAAGGAGGTGGGAGGACAAGAAGTTTAGCTTGCTTTGCAACTCTGTTTTTATTCCTTGATGCATCAACAGCCTAGTTGTTACTGAAAATTATTTCAGATCCTTAGAACAAAGTTCTTAACTTAGAGTAGAACTTTAAAAATTTTGTGATAATTATTTAATAGGATTGGTTTTTGTACTTATATATCTTATTTTATACATTTAAAAAGATTATTATGAGGAGCCCATAGGTTTCACCAGATTGTCAAAGGAGTCTATGACACCAAAAAAGTAAAAACTCCTTCCCCAGTGAGAGTGCTGTAGTGAATACCATGCTGTACTTGGGCTCAATCAACTTGTATTTATTATAAGCTTACCATGTGTGCAACACTGGGGATACAAAGAGGAGAAGAAATAACACCTCCAACACTTTGTATTCTAATAGAGTCAGAACGACCTGGGTTAGAGCCTCACCTCAGACACTAGCTATGGGGCCCCACAGATGTCACTTCTCTGAACTTCAGTTTCTTCATTTCTAAGAGTGTGCCTACTTTGTGGGGCTGTTGTGAGGATCAAATGAGATGATGTATGTAAAACACTTTGCAAAGTTTTTAAGTGCTATGTAAATATCAAGTATTATTATTGTTACTATTCTTACCTCTGAGATTACCAGAAGGCAGAGAATTGGACCAGCAACTCAGAAAACCCCTTTTCTTCCACTTTACAATTCACTTCATCAGAGGTTGTGGTCCTCTGGGAATTTTCTCCCTGTGAGAATGATGTCTCTTTGCTAATTGAGACATAGCTAGCGATTTCAAGTGTCAGCCCCTTAGATAAAGAGAAACACCTTCCTTGAACTTTAGCCCTGCCCTCTCTACTTCTTTATAAATAAGAGTCTAAGCAGAAAGGCCCAGGTATTGTCAGAGTCGATACTCCTATACAGGTGCCATCTAGGGAGGGGAGCATCTACTCCCTGCCTGGGCCCCCTGAGTTTGTTTCTTCAGTTCCCTCACCAATTTCCACTTTACTCCTCCCCCAAACCCTGTTCCACCAGTTTCTACCACAAGCACTCCCCAAAACTTCCTCTGGGTTGAGGGAAGGGGATGAGGAGGAGGGGCTATTTTTGTAGCAAGCTGTATCATTGTGGGGACTGGGGGGAGGGGGGGCGCACAATGATTCAAGTTTATGAAATGCCTTTACAAAAATCCCTCACCCCTAGGATATCCCCTACCCTCTGTCTCTTCCCCTTTTTGCTGGTCTAAAAGGACAATTTTGTTGGAGGAAAAGTGATCTCTAGAGGCAATAGCTGAAAATATCTGCTTGATTCCTATCTAAGTTGTAGCCTGGACTCAGTGCCCTTTCCTTCCTCCAAGTGACGACTCAATTCCTATCTCTAATTCATAGGTTTAGGTTAAAGTCTCAAGGTATATATATGGTAGGCAATCTCTTGGATTCGAATGAGTTAGAAGGTTGATTCAGAAGATGTAGAGTCCTGTGGCAATATAGTCACAAAGGATCCATTCCAATGAGAAATCAATGTTTTATAATGTTATAAAATGAAATAGGAAAGCACTGTCCTCCATAATGTTGAGGAGCCAAAGAGTAACTGCCCATGTTATCTTTATGTTAATTTGACTTTAAATGAATCCAACCATTTGCACTTATTTCACTGTGTCTTGCATACCCGGTTCAGGAGAATCGGGAATTAGAAGGCAAGGGAGGCCCCTAGGGGATAGGGAAGAATTCTTGGCCGTCCGCTTCCTACTGTGTCGCAATGTGTTTCATTTTGGACCTGGGACCAGGCTCAGTGTTCTAGGTGAGGAATTGGGATCCAGGATTTAAGGGAGAGGGGTTGGGAAATGACAGCTGCATCTTGGTTTTGACAGTACCCATGCAAACCAACCTACCCTAGCCACCTTACTCTCCTTCTGGAACCTCTGGACCAGAGGGTGTGTGAGGAACACGGAGAGTACCGGGATCCCTCGGCAGGAGCGTGAAGCCTCTCAGGAGCATACCCGAGTTTGAGCTGTGGCCCGAATTTGAGCTGTAGCCTTAGCTGCTGTGCTAACGCCGGCGAACCATTATACTTTGGAGCCGGAACCAGGCTAACGGTTCTGGGTAAGAGAAGGCAGCACCCACTATCCTGTATTAAAATTCCCACTTAATCCCTCTCAGTGAGCAGTGAATAGGGCAGCGTTGGTAGCTGCTCCCAGCCTAGGAGAGAGCTGGCAGGGACTGGAATAGGGACCCCCTATAGTCCTCCTCCTCCCCAGTCCATTTGTGTGCGGGGCTGCCGAGCTGTGAGCACAGACATCCTCTACTTCGGGACGGGCTCCTGGCTCGTCGTTCTAGGTAAGCCTGTATAAAGACCTGATGGAGGCAGGCAGAATCCCCAGGGAAGAGTGGATGTCCCTAGGGTAGAGACGAGGAGCAGAGAACGGTTGGGAGTTCGCTTTTTGTGAGGGGCCTGGGGGCTGTGACTCTGGTAACGCAGCCCAGACTTTTGGATCTGGAAGTCGTCTGATCGTCATAGGTGAGTGTCCCCGTACAGCTCATACAGGGCAAGGTCCGGAAGGGTCCCGACACGACACCATAGCTCCTGGCCACCGAGAAGGACGGTGCTGGGGAATAGTAACTACGACAGAGAAAGAGCCGGAGCCATTTCCATCCCCTACGCACCCTTCCTCCTGCCCCATAGACTATTCTTTTCCGATCTGAGTGGACGGTAAGGGAATGGTGAGGGGAGTAGGGGGGGCTGGCTGAGATGAACCAAGACCGCAGCCCCGGCAGACGTGGCGGACTGGCTCCCTGGTCTTTTCTGCACCAATTTGCCTAGGAGCCAGCGTTTCAGCTCGCATACCCAGCTACAGGTCACAGGTGATACACCCTCCCAGCTAGCATCTCTTGGTGGGAGGATTTGTAGCCGAAGGTAGCTTTGGAAAAGCTTCAGCCTCCCCCATCTCAGGTGCTAACCTGAGTTCTCCCCCCCATACTTTCCTCTCCCCTAACAATGGATTTATTCCAAGAAAACCTGAGTGTACATGAACAAATTGGAGTGGAAGGGGGATGGAGGAAGGTAGCAGAGGGACTAGTCTCACTCTTTGGTTTCTAGGCAGAGGGTGGTTTTTGTTTCTGAAGGGGGTGGAGGGAAGTATGCTTCCCAAGCCTTCTCCAGTGGACAAAAATAGTGTCTAAAAGGAGATAAAGATCAAAGGGAAAGGATCCAAGCAGAGAGAGAGTGTGGATTAACAGCCAGACAGTGTGGAGTCATGAGAAAGACACTGAATTTGGAGTGACAGTACCTGGATTCAGACAGATCTCCAAGCTTGGTGACCTTGGGCAAGTTACTTACTCTATGTCTCTGGGCCTAGAGCACATCATCTATAAGATGAGAGTGTTGCATTATAAGAGCTCCAAAGTCTATTCCAGCTATAATCGTGTTCTGCACTTTATTTGTTCTATCCAATGGAGGCAGAGGATGTTAGTTGAGAGAAAGCGAGAGAGAGAGAGAGAGGTGTTGGTTTCTCCCTTCATCTTGATTTATGGAATGGCATATATAGAACTTAAAATCTAGTATAGTGCTCTATACCCAGAGGACACTTAAGTGTTTACTTATTTAGTGGTGATGAAGAGGAAGGAGGGGAAAGATGATAATAATTGATGAACATAGTAGAAGGGAGTATGCGAGCACCAGACACAGGCAATGGGAGAAAACCAGTTCCAGTCTGGGCTTTCAAAGTAACCTCCTGTATAGTATACAAAGTCTGCCCCTCCCCTTCCCCAAGTCCTTCACTCTCTTACTCTGAGATCCTGTTCCTTGAGAAAAATCATAGGATTTTGAACTGGAAAAATGTTAGAGATTATCCCATCCCAACCTTAATTTTTAGAAATGAAGGAAATGAGTCCTATAGAGGTGAAAAGTAAGGATGATGTCCATACCACCACCACCAAGCCTTGCCCATGAGCACCCATCACATTAGTCAGTCATATAAATTGGAGGAGCAAGTTCTTGTCTCCATTGGGTGATTGACTCAAGGGTATCACAGGACTCTCTAGCCCTTTAATATTTCCTCTTTCCCTCGCACTAGGCCTAAAATCCCCACCATTACAGTTACTACTCTGGGTTTGATGACAGATAAGAAGAGAGGGAATAGAAACTCCAGGCTCTTTAAATGCATATATTTTACTTTAGAAGGGTGCAATATGAATCTAATGTTTGATGAGTTCTCTTGTAAAATAGGGATTATATTTATTCCTCTTAGCTCTAGAGGGGAGAACTAAGATTAATATGTATTAGGGAGGAATATTTCAACTCAATCTAGGGAAAGCTTTCTTATTAGTTTGAGCTATCCAAAAATAGACCAGGATGCTTTACTAGGTGGTGAATTCCCTGTCCCTTGAGGTGGTCAAGCAGAGGCTGGATGGCCACTTGTTGGGGATGAAAATGTACCTCATTCTTCGGTAAAGATCTTAGATCACTTCCATTTATGACAGCAAGATTCTAGAAGGGAGAGTTGATTTCTACTAAATGCCTTTTCTCGTTCAGCATTAAGTCCTAGACCAATTTAACAAACACTTATTTTAGCTCTTAGGTATATAGAGGTTATAAAGATAAATAAGATAGGATCCCTGCCACCATAAAACTCCCCTTAGCTTAAATGAGTTTGTTGTTGTTTTTCAGTCTCCTCTGACTCTTCCCGGTCCCATTTGGGGTTTTCTTGGCAAAGATTAACCAAGTGGTTTATCATTTCTGTCTCCAGTTCATTTTACAGATGAGGAAACTGAGGTAACAGGGTTAAATGACACGTCCATGGTCACATAGTTTCTGAGGGTTCGATTTGAACTCAGGTCTTTCTGACTCCTGGCCCAGTGCTCTATTCACCACTCCACATAGCTGAGTTTATTAGAGTATAAAACCATTCACCTATGATATCAAGACCTTAAGGAAATGGGATCAAAGAAGTTCTGACATGAAGGAGGGAGGAAATAAGCATTTATATATAGCCCCTAAATATTGTTTCACTTGATCCTCACAATTCTGTGAGGTGGGTGCCATTATTATCCCTTTTTGGCCATTGAGAAAATTGAGGCAAACGAAGGTTAAGTGACTTGCCCAGGGCCAAGGTCACATAGCTAGTAAGTGCTGAGGCTGGATTTGAACTAAGGTCTTCTAGACTCCAGGCTCATTACTCTATCTACTGTACCACCAGCTGACTCAGAAGATGCAATTCAGATTATATGAAGCTTCAGATGGTTGATCATTTTGAGTTGTCACAGTAGGGAGACATTTACAGATAAAGAAACTGTGGGCTTGCTAATGGAGCCAAAGTAGATATATAGGGCCTTGCCTTAGGTTAATTTGAAGGAAGCTATGGATTCTCTTAGGCATCTGGGGAAGGGAACATGGGAGTCCACTTGTGCAAAGTGATGGAGGTGGTAGATGGAAAGTCTTGGGCAAGGAACAGCCAGTAGTCCAGTTTGACTGGATCAGGAAATGCTTCAAGGGGAGTAATATGAAATAAAAGCAGAGAAGGGGAGAGGGGCAGATTGTAGAGGATTTTAAATATCCAGCTGAGCATATTGTTTTCATCCTAGAGATAATATAAAGTCATTGAAGATTTATTGATGGGGTTGGGGGAAGAGGAGACATGGTCAGATCTGTCCTTTAGGAATTTGGATTTAGCAACTATATGGAAGAATTAGAAAAGGTGCTGGGAGACCAATTAGGAAGCTACAAAAACAGACCAGGTAAGTGATGATAAGGGCCTGAAATAAGGTAAGACCAAGTGAGTGTAGAAAAGAGGACAGATGTTGGAGAAGTTGTGGAGGTAAGGTTGACAATCTTATGTAAGATGTCCCAAAAATCTTAGTGCCAGAAAATAAGATTTTTGGGACACCCCATATAATAGTATTAAGGAAGAGGATGACTCCAATGTTGAATGTCTGAAAGGATACTTGTGCCTTTGAAAGAAATGGGGAGATGTGGAGGAGAGATAGGCTTAAAGGCTCAAAGAAGTCTACCAAAATGGAAAGGGAATTGAGACTTCAATGACAGAAGCAATATAGCTTTATACATGTGAGGTATGGTAGGGAAAAAAAGTCCTTCAAGGATTCTAGATCTACAGTCCTTGAAAAGGCTTTTCAATTAAATCACAACACCACTTATTAAGTATCTGCTATATTCAAAATAATTTGTTATGCACTAAAAGAAATATAAAAGTAAACAAAATAATATATCTGAATTCAAGGAATTCAGTGTATTTCAATAGGAAAGATAAATTATATATTCAAAAATTATATGTATGTATACAAAGTATGTATAAAAATTACAATGCAAAACATAATATTACAAGTGGACTAGAGGGTTATGGAATCCTGTGACATCTATCTGTGAGATCAGGGAAGGTTTTTCAGGTTTCTTATCTGTAAAATGAAGAGATTGGCAAGGGTGATTATTCTTTAAATAGATGAAGAATAGATAAGATTTTAACAAAGAGGGCACCTTAATTCTCAAAGAGTACTACAAATAAGCAAATACATAAAGCATCCTTCTTCCTCCCTCTTACAGTAAAACAGCTCTCTGTCCAGTCTTGGATACCAACCCCTTTCCATTTTTCAGATGACCTGAACAAGGTGATTCCCCCAAAGGTAACTGTGTTTCAACCATCTGAGGAAGAGATCGAGGAGAAGGGAAAGGCCACACTGGTCTGTCTGGCCACAGGCTTCTACCCTGACCTTGTGGAGCTGAGCTGGTGGGTGAATGGGCAGCAGACTCAAGTTGGGGTCAGCACAGACCCTCAGCCCTCCAAGGAGCAGCCTGATAACGACTTCTCCAAGTACTCGCTGAGCAGTCGCCTCCGGGTTTCTGCTCCCTTCTGGCGCAATCCCAAGAACAGTTTCCGTTGCCAAGTATTGTTCCATGGGATCTCAGAGGATGAGCCCTGGACCGGTAACACAAGCAAACCCATCACCCAGAATGTCAGTGACCAGATCTGGGGAAAGGCAGGTGAGAAGTATCATGAGTAGGGGTACGATGGGGGTTGTATAATGGGCAAACAGACCCAGAAAAGAAGACCAAGACAGAGACACAGGGAGGGGAAGAGAAAGGCAGAAAAGGACAAGGACAGAATGAAAAAAAATCCAAAAACAAAAGCAGAGAGGGAAGGCAGAGAATCAAAAATACAGACAATAAAAGAAAGAAAATAATCTGTCCCCAAGAATATCCCTTGGCAACATGGATCTAGAGAAAAAAAAAAGAGTCAGGCTACATTTCCCTGGAAGTAATCAAGGCTTCCTCCTGCATGAACTAGGTATCAACTCAGGCTCAGCTTTCTCCTTCAACTCCAATCAGAATCTTGCAGATAGCAGCCCCAGACTACCAACTTGTGTAATCTACAGAATATCCCTCTAATGTTGCATCTTTCCATTTGCCCACAATTATAAAGATAATGTGTTTTTTCAAAGTACTAGCAAGGAGAGAAGTATAGGGCTAGGGCTAAGTTAGAAGGCATTACATTTTTAAAACAATATGTAAAAATGCCTCAGCATTTATTTTGGTTCTTAGACCAATAGCCATGATTTAACCTACATGGCCTAAAGATAACACCTTTGGGAAAGCCAAGGATTATTCAATATGTTCCCAATTTTCTCTTTCAGATTGTGGTGTTACCTCTGGTAAGTAAATCTCTTTTTCTCTTTTCTCCTTATTCCCTACCCTTTTGCCAGCAACCATAGCCCAGATATCCCTTGGGTAAGCTCCTTGAAGACAGGGATTTTCTTTTGCCTCTTTTTGTATTCCCAAAGTTTAGCACAGTGCCTGGCATTGAGTAGGCACTTAATAAATGTTTATTGATTGATTGATTGGATATACTCCTCCATTGTCCCATCAGTGATGGCAATGTGGGACTAGAGGAGGCCAGAATTGTGTGCTTACAAGAATGGGGTCTCTACCCTCACAGAGTCCTATCAGCGCAGTATCCAGTCTGCCACCTTCCTTTATGAGATCCTGCTGGGGAAAGCCATGCTGTATGGCCTGCTGGTCAGTGCCCTGGTGTGGAGAGCCATGGTAAGAAATTAAAAAAAGGAGAAAGGAAAATGGGACACAATTATGATCTAAAACCACCCTTAGAAAATATGATGAACCCATAAGTCATCAAGGGTAGTGGAAATGTGAAGGAGGAAGGAAATAGCCCCAAAGGCCCCACAAAGTACCCCAAAGTGGTTTTAACTTTTAACCTTACAAATTGGATTGGTGGGAATGGAGAAATTCAAGGTGAAATTAAAATAAGTGATGGATGAATTTCAACAAGAATCCAGTCTCTTATAAATATTTGACGTAGATAGTCTCAAGTCCTTGGCTTCTCCATTCTGCAACATGTCTCTTTACTTATTTCTCCACCGTGATGTTACCTGGGAGATTGACAAGAGGTATTTATATGTCTTTTTTAGGCCAAGAAAAAATATTCCTGATGCCAGCTGTGGAGGTGAGAAGAAGGAGAAGAGTCTGCTTTCTCTATTCTTATTCCGTGTTCCAGAAAAGCTGTTGTTCCCTCAGTCTTCATCCCCATCCTTCAGAGGTCTCTCCAAAGACAACATTCCAGTCCCAAGGGGAGAAGGATGGTGGTTTAATTTTGAAGAAATAAAAAAGCCTGCCTTGGCTTAGCAGTTACCAGTTATGTCTCTATCTTTTTTCTTATCGACTTAATCTGGAAATATTCCTCTAAATTGGGATATACAGTTCAAGAAAGTATTAGCATAGTTAACGGAAAACCTGCTTGAGCAAAGGGAGAGGTAATTCCATTAGGACATTAGCATCCCCCTCCTTGAGTTTCAAATTGTTGTCAATCTCACTTATCATTACATAGGTACTCCAGAGATAATAGTTAAGCCAATGGATGCTAGACATTGTGAGCATTTGGGAGAAAAATCTGCACACAGGGAAATCACAATATCCAAGTGATTAAGGGGATGTCTGAGAAGAGGTGGGAAATAGAAATATGATGTGAAGGAGAGCTGAGCCCTATTATAATTAGAGAATGAAACAAGAGAGGTGGGAAAGGATTGAGAATGTGAGGAAAAGATAAAAGAATGTTCATGAAATTGGAATAAAGTTTAAATGAGAGGTAGATTGAATGGTAGTCTGGGACTAATGTGAAGGCTGATTTACTTCGAGTGACAGTTCAGGTACTGAATTATTTCTTTAATGTCCTGAACTCTGGAAATTTCACATGGAATTGGAGATTGGGATTGAAGTTTAGGAGAGGAATAAACAGATATGATGTTAATCTGAATAAATATAATAAATGAATCCATGGGACCTAATAATATCCCAAAGAAAACAAAAGTATAGACTGAGAAAAGGGCCCCAGGCAGAGCCAAGTCCTTAATAATAAAATAAATGTGAATAAAATCATCTCTGAGATTTTATTCTGCATTGAGAAAATTTGCAACACGACAAAAGGATGAAAGTGGTCAACGATGGAGGAGTTGGGGAAAGGGAGGCATATTAATACAATGTCGATGGAACTATGAATTGATGTGATTATTATCTAAATGAATTTGTGATTGTGGTTTATAAAAGCAACTAAAATGTCCATAATGTTTGACCCAAAGACCCAACTCCCAGGTCAGAGTCAGAAAGAAATGTCCCACATGTGCCAAAATATTCATAACAGTACTTGTATAGCAGCAACAAAAAACAAAAACAAAATAAGTGCCCTTTGATGGGGAATAGGGACTTAATTTGTGTTGGTATAAGGAACTCCTGGATCAGAGAACCCCTTCTATCAATGCAAATTGACACCTTCTCTGTAACTTATATTCCCATAGAGTGTCCTAGGACACTGTGATCATATAAACAGCATGTGCCAAAGATGGGGTTTGAACCTGGGGCTTTTTGACTCTGACTCAAGCATTTTATCCATTATTCTTCTCTTTTGATTAGGGATAGCTAAATAAATAATGGTATCTGAAAGTAATGGAATATTACTATGAAGGAAGAAAACATGAAAACAATACATTTGGAAAGGCATAGGTAGATATAGAACTGATGGAAAACAAGGAAACTGAACCAGGAAAGTTTATACATAATAACTACAACAATGTAAATGAAAGAATAAAACCACAAACTGAATTCTGTGTAATTATAATGACCAGACTTGGTCCTTGAGAAGAGGGGAAGAAAATGTCTCCTTATCTTCCTTGCAAAGACTGGAGACTATTCCTATGAAACACTGCTTATAATTGGTTGATATATTGATTGGTTTTATTGAAGTGAATGTATTTAGGGGAGGGATGAGACATTTATTCAAGCATGAAAGTGGCATAAAAGTAAAAGATAACATTTTTTTATGGGGAAGGGCAGAGAAGAGAGATGGATTGGAGACCAGGATCCATTTGAGAACAGGTCAAGAGTATTCATAGTTAAACCTTAGCCAATCAATGGAGATCATTTGTAACCTAGGAAACTTTAGGCAAGTCACTCAAGTCCTTTTTGAGACCCCCAAAAAAGGATAGAGTTTCAGTAGAGTAGTGGAGACAGAAGCTAGATTACAAGGGGTTGATAAGTGAATGAGAAGACAGATCCCAGTTATATAGTCACAAGATCAAATGGCTACTTTTAAGTATATGGTTCTCAACACATCTGAATGTAGAGACAAATGGCCCTTTAATTTCTCTGACACATTTCTTTACCACACAATTTTTTAACTGGACCTCTATGGTCTTGCTTTATACTCGAGGTTTGTTTATTTGTTTTGTTTTGTTTGGGGGGTGGGGATAGGGAAGAATCTTCCCTCAACCAAACTTTAAACACCTTGAAGGCAGAGACTATGTTTTTATATGTCTTGGACTCACAAAATAATTAGGCCCCAGTTAGCATAAGCTCTCCAAATTCTATTTAACATATAACGCTGTTCCCCAAATAATTTAGATTTCTAAGGTGTTGAGCCGATCACCTGATTCTGATACCGCTGTCTTTTAGGGTGACAGAAACTCTGAACCATCTCAAGGACTGGATGCTTATATTGTTTCAACATCTAAATCAGGGGATTCTGGACCAGCTCTTTAGATTATACAATCTTGGGTTGAGAGCTGGAAAGGACCTTTGGGCTCATCTATCCTTTAATTAGGGGGAGGGGATATCTTATTTTATAGATGAGGAAACAGAGATACAGAATTTAGATGACTTGCTTATAATCACATATGAGAGAAAGTGGCAGAGCTAAGATTTGAATGCAGATTTGTCTGGTTCCAAATCTAGCATTTTATCCCATATACCCTTCTTGTTCTTTGGTTTCCCCTTCTGCATCTTGGGATTGGCAGGAAAAGACTCCTCTTCATAGGCTACATAGAGAAAGATGGACTAAAGCAGTAGTTTGTTTCATAGACCCTTTTGGTGAAATCTATGAAATTTTTCTTTGAAAAAAATGCTTTTAAATGCATAAAATAAAGCAAACAGGGTCACAAAGGAAACCAAGTATAATGAAATAGCTATCAAAAAATTTTTTTAAAGAAAAAATAAGTTCATGAACCTTGGGTTAAGAACTTCCCTACTAAAGGAACAGAAGTTTGAACATCTTAGAGGTTATCTTGTCTAATTGCCATATGCATTATTCCCACAACAACATCCTCCAGAAGTAGTCATCCAGCTTCTACTTGAACACTTCCAGTAAGAGAATTCATTTTTTTTAAATTTTATTGTTTGGGAGGAAATTGGGCTTAAGTGATTTGCCTAGAGTCACACAGCTAGTCAGTGTGTGAGGTTGTATTTGAACTCAGGTCCTCCTGACTCCAGGTTTGGTGCTCTGACCATTGTGTCATCTAGCTACCCTGAACTTATACTTTTTAAAGAATTTCACTGTTCTTTTGGGGGATAGTGTGATGTGTGAGGAAGTTCTTCTATGTTCCTAACCTCTGAGGGCAAAAAAATGAGGCTAATCTCTCTTCAATAGATTGTTTTTCCACGTGGTATATATTAAAGTTTTCAAGCCTCCAACGTTCTTGTGATGCTGGTCAATACCTTCTTCTTTTTGTTAGTGCCTTTCTAAATGTGAAACCAAGAATTGAATACATTAGCAAAGATGGAGTCTGAATCACACACAGTTTTGCAGGAATTTTGTCATTCTTTTCATTTCAATCAAAGGCCAAAGATTTAGTGAGATATCACAGGGACTGGAGAAAGAAAGTACCAGGAATAGGCCTTGGACATGAAGTGGCAGCGGAAGAGGCCCCCAATAGGTAGGAGATGTAGGCCCCACAAAAATGAAGAGGGAAGACAACAAACTCCACTTGATTTGCCATTCTGCCTAGGTCCCTCATTTCTCACTGAAGGTTATCTCCTTCCCTCCTTCCCTGCCAAAGTAAGTGTTGAAATAGACAGCTGAACTTGGACTCAAGAACCCTGTATCTGAATCCTGCATCAGACACTTGCTGTGTGTTTCAGGGCAAAGTCACTTAATCTCACTGAGCCTCAGTTTTCTGATCTGTAAAATAGCACCTACCTCAGAGTTGTTGTGAGAACTAAATTAGATGATGTATGTGAAAAACCTTTGCAAAGCCTTAGAGTTCTGAAAGTCAGCCTGGCCCAGTGGCCAGAGAGCAATCCTAGAGACTATGAAGATGAGTTTGAGTCCCATCTCTGACCCATCTTGACTGTGTAATCTTGGTCAAGTCCTTTAGCTTCACAGTGCTTCAGGCAATACTCAAGACTAAATTGTGTTGACAGTGGCACCCTTATCTGGGAGCTCTCTGTATCACTGAATGTATATTTATCCTTAAGGTGCTAAAGAAACATGAGCAATATTGCCATTATGGCTATCCCTGAGATTGGTTATACAGCAGAAAAATGAACCAGTCCTTTCCACTATTCCCCTGCCCCTGAAAGGCTGTAAAACTCTTGGAATTTGCCCAAGAATATCGTCTCTTTGCATATTGAGACTCAACTAGCTACTTTAAGTGGTAGCCTCTGAACTAAAGAGAAACATCTTCCTTCCACCTTAGCCCAGCCCACTCTGCTTCATCAGAAATTCTAGTCTTAGCAGAAGGGGCACAAGTACTCTAATGGTTTGCTATTCTTACACAGGTGTTCTACCCAAGTGTCATCTAGGGAGAAATTCAAGTACAACTTGACTGCTCCTTTTCTCCTGTTACTTCATCACTTCCCCCTTTCCCCTTTCCCCAAACCCTGCTCTGCCAGATCCAAGCCACAGTCACTAGCTCCCCTCTAAATCTCCTCAGAGGTGAAAGAAAAGAAATTGAGGGGAGGGGCCAATCTTGAAGTAGGTTGTATCATTATGGCAGATAAGCCGGTAGGACACAAAGAGCCTCGGGGATGTCTTTATAAAAATCTCTTGTTCCAATGACAAGCCCAGTTCTCCCTTTCTCCCCTCTTTTGGGGGTCTGACTGAAAAATTATGAAGGCAGTGTCTCTATCTCAGGGAGATTTCAGGGTCCCTGTGAATGTATATAAGGAAAAAATGCATCTTTATTTACAGTAATCTCCAAGTGAAATTTGGCGTTTTCTTCCATTAAGTTGTTTTTTAATCATTATTCTGAGAAGAGGTCAAGAAGTTTCATCAGTTTGCCAAAGGAGTCCATCTCTCTCTCTCTCTCTGTCTCTCTGTCTCTCTCTCTCTCTCCCCTCTACACACACACACCATTCCAATGAGAAATCAGTATTTTAGAATATAATTTATAATGAAAAACATTGCTTTGTGCCCTTTCCCCAATTACGCCCTTTGCTTTCATGTTATTTTGCCTTTAAACATATCCAACTTTATCTAGCTGCTTTTTCACGTTGTCAGTGGAGGGTGGCAGGGAGAGAGGTAATTAAAGAGACAGAGCAATCCCCGGGATAGAGACAGATTTAAGCTGAGCTCTGCTCTACTGTGTTTCAATGAACTTCATTTCGGACCGGGGACCAGGCTCACTGTACTAGGTGAGGAGTTCGTGGGTTGAATCTTCAAGGGTAGTTTTCTTTTCAGGTGAATTTTACCTATTCACCCTGCTCCAGCCCTCTGAAGCTCGTGGAGTGGGCTCGGGGCGGGGGAGCAGTAATGGGGGTATGGGGAGGGCTCCTAGATTATTTGGTAACAGAGGGAAGGCCAGTAGATGCTTTCCTGAGTTTGAGCTGCAGCCCCAGCTGCTGTGCTAACACCGGGCAGTTGTACTTTGGAGTCGGAACCAGGCTGACAGTGCTGGGTAAGAAAGGACAAACAGCACCCATACTACCCTACTCCTTCCTATTCATGCCTTCACAGTGATCAGGGCATAGGGCAGAGTGGGGAATGGCAGTTGTCTGAGTGAGAGCTGGGGACTGGGAATGGGGAATCCCTTACTCCTCAGCTCATTCGTGTGCCAGACTGTGTTGCTGTGGGCACAGAGACTCAGTATTTCGGGGCTGGCTCCCGACTCATTGTTCTAGGTAAGCCTGTAGGGAGTCCCAACTTGTGGCTTAGAGGGTCCCCTGAGTGTGATTGAAGTTTTCGGGGCAGAGAGGCGGTACAGAGGATGGTTGAGTCCAGATTTTGTGAGGGGTCTGAAAACTGTGTTATGCTGACGCTCAGATTTTTGGGTCTGGAAGTCGGCTGACCGTTGTAGGTAAGTGACCCTGAGCAACTCTTCGTTGAAAGTCCGGAAGGGTCCCAGAGCTACAATGTGGCTGATCAGGATCTTTCACCTACTCCGGATGGCCAGGGACAAGAGGGGAGGCCCTAGACCTGGGAAGAGGCAGCTATGCTTGGGACAGGGCCAATGCACTTTCCATCCCTAGACGTTCCTGCCTCGGCTTCGCTGAGGACTCTTGCTGCAGGGCAGGGTGGGGGACAGGCCAGCTCCAGGTGAAGGGATGGGTTGGACTAGGGACCGAGCCCCGACAGACGTGGGGGATGGGCAGCCGAGGTTTGGCTGCAGGGCTCTAGCTCTGTGTCCTCCTATGAGCAGCATTTCGGCCCAGGTACCCGGCTATTGGTCACAGGTGAGACATCCTCCCCACTACCCCAGACACTTCGTATTCTAAAATCACTGTCCAGGGGCCAGAAGGGCACGGTTGGAAGATTCATCCCACTGAGGTAGCATGGAAAAACTCCGGTCAGTCGTCCTCTTCCCTGCGACTCTCTAACTCCCATTCTCATTCCTTCCGCACGCTCTGGGCTTACTCGCATAGAAAGGAGGTCGGATGCCAGCCAGGGGACGGGATAGGGGGGTTGTTTTGGATTTCCTAGATATGGATGAGTGAGTTAGGTATAGGAAGGTGCTTCTTTGGTCTCTGAAGGGAGGGACCATATGCAGAAGGAAAGTGAGGGTCCCAAGCCTTCTACGTTGGACGAAAGAGAGGTACAGCTCTAAAGAAAAAAATAATCTGAGGGAGAGCCCGTGGGGATTGATAGTGAGACCTTGGGAACTAGTGAAAAGGGATTTGGATTAAGAGGACTGGGATTCAAGTACAGATCTGTTACTACCTGAGTGATTTGAGCCAAGATATTTTGTCTTTATAACACAGTTTTCTCATTTGCAAAATGAAGGGTTAGACTAGATGACAAGTGGAAAGATTTACCTAACCTAAATCTTGTCATCCCCTATTCATTCCAAACTTGTGGCTGAGGCAAGGAACAGACTCTAAATTGCCAATAGTAATTATCTGCTTCTTATCTTGTACAGCTTTTAAAATTCTAATTTGGCGTCTGAAGGGAATCAGGAATATGGGGGTGGAAGGTGGAGGGTGGGAAACCTTTATGTTGGACAGAGAAAGAAAGGTACAGGCCTGAAGAGGTTTACATGAATTATTGCTGCTGCCCCCACCCCCACTCCTACCCCCACCACACACACTAGAGCATAAGCTTTAGGGTAAGAACTGGTCACTTATCTTTTTTTGTATCCCCCGAAACACTCAATCTTGTAGCTCTACACATAAGAAATTTTTTTTAAAGGTTATTGAATCATAGACACAAGGCCCCACATCTAATATGATAGATTCCATCATTAATGGTAATGATGATGTTCTGATGATTGATGTACAAAGACAGAGAGCAAAAATGGAAAGACACGTAGAGACAGGGTGGTGTGTCAGAAGAGAATTAGGACTAAGATGGGTTTGAGGGCTTGGCATTTTAAAATGGATTCTTAATTAGGTTACAAAATTCTAAGTCCCATTTTTTCACCTACTCACCTTTAGTTTCTAGTCCCTGAGAAAATTATGGGATTTAGAGTTGCAGGGTACATGAGAAAGCACTTAATCCAATTCAGCTTCCTAATGTTGGACATGAGGCAACTGAATTTTAGAGGAGTGAAGTGGTGTGAGCATTATCTATGATTACAAAAAATGTCCTTGCCCATGCATAACCAAGATTCAGCCCTACTAATTGAAAAACTTATAGGGCGATTGATTTGGGGGACTCACCACCCTCCAAATATTTCTGCTGATTCTAACCCAGCTGTCTTCTCAAAGAAAAGCCTAAATGATGGTTTCATTGAATATAGTGACAGTAATGGTTCCATAGATTTAGAGGTAGAGGGGACCTCCAAGGTCATTGAGTACAACCTCATTTTATAGATGAGGAATTGAAATTTATATAAGTGAAGTGAGTTGTTCAAGGTCATACAGCCAATTAGTGTCCAAGGTGGGATTTGAACCCAAGTCTTTCTGGTTCCAAGTCCACTGTGCTATCTCCTAACTATGCACTCTAGAATTCTGTTCATTTTCTGAAAAGGAAAGGGAATACACCTATGGTTCTAGAGGGGATCTTTCCGTTACTCACTGGTTTAGATCTTCTGTGTATAGAGTTCTTTATGTCATGGAGTTAGACATGAGAAAGAATTTCTGGATATTGAGATACATGAGAGCTGGGAAACAAGGGACCTTAAGGAATTCCTGAGATGCAAAAAAGAACTTAGTCTGATGGGATATGAGAAATGTAATTCTTTCTGGAGGTCTGGAGAAGGATGAGATAAATTCATGAAATGCATACAAAGTAACTATATACATACATATATACATATCTATTTTATATTATAGTACATATATGTATATAATGTGTATCATATATATGCACACATATATTTATATTAAATATATTTTAGTAATAGAGCTTTCATTCTCTTGAATATAGACACCAAGGAATACAATGTGTAAGCAGCAAAATGGCATAATGAAAAATGCCCTGGATTGTATAAATCAGAATTCCTAGATTCTAGTCTCAGTTCTTCTGCCAAGTAGCCGTGTGAAGCTTAGTCTAAATCACTAAATTTCTCTGAGCACTGTAAAATGGAGGCAATAATGCTACCTTACTTATAAGGATTGTAGTAAAGTAAAATCATAGATTTAGAGGTGGAAGGGACCTTAGTATTTTACAAATGGGGAAACAGAGGCCCAGAGAGATTACGTGCCTTGCCAATGGTCAAGCAGCTAGTAAGAGATGGAAACAGGAGTTAAACTCAAGTCCTCTGACTCCAAATCCAGACCTTCTTCTCCTCCACAGTTCCTCCACAGTGCAAAGCAATAGATACATGTAAGGTTATACAGGGGAGTCAAAAAGTCTTAGTACAATTTAAACTACTAAAGCTTAATAAAACGAATGTTGATGATACAAAATGTCCCCAAAGTCTTAGTGCCTAGAGCTAATCTTACCTGAGTGCTAAGATTTTGGGGACAACCCTGTATTGGCCATAAGTACTAGTAGTAGTAGTAGTAGTAGTAGTAGTAACAGCAGCAGCAGCAGCAGCAACAGTAGTAGTAGAAAGCAGTAGCACCAATAGTAGTAGTAGTAGTAGCAAACAATAGCAGCAGCAGCAATAATAGAAAGCAGTAGCAGCAGTGGTAGTAAGCAGTAGTAGTAGTAAGCAGAAGCAGCACCAATAGTAGTAACACTAAATAGCAACAGCAGCAATAGTAGTAAGTGGAAGTAGCAGCAGTAGTAGTAAAAAGCAGTAGCAACAACAGTAGTAGTAGTAGTAGTAGTAATAGTAGTAGCAGTAGTAATAACAAGCAGTAGCAGCAGTAGCACTAAGTAGCTTTTTCTGCTGTACAAATCACCCCAGTAGTCACTTGTTTGGATTGAGGCATCAAAAGACACTTTAAAAACACAAATGTAATATTCAGGAGAAATAACAAGCTGGAAGCAGCCTCAGAGGCCTCTAGCATAACCCCTTCATTTTAAGGAGGAAGAACCTAGGGCTAGGAGAAGTTACATAACTTAGGTGCTAAGAATCAAGGATAAGGAGCCACTTAAGGTTTGGGAAGGGGCAAGGGTTGACATAGATCTTTTTTTTTTTTTAAATATCAATTTAGAAGTTCTGTGGAGGATGGAGTGGAGAGGGGGTGGACCTTGGAGGCTATTTAATAGATGAGATGGGAGGCAATAAGGGCTAGAACAAGGATGAAGATTGGTCATTGGAGTGGAAAGAAGTGAAGAGCCATTGTGGAAAGAGAATCCACAAGACATGGTAACTGACTGGATACTGGGATGACAGGAGAAATTGACTCCACTTCTGCAAATGTGGGTGACAAGGAGGATGGGGAAATGGGGAAGTTTGGAGGAAGGACAAGTTTGGGGGTCATTCAGAGCAATCTGTCTTGAGTAATAAGGGCTGATTCTTAGAACAGGGAAGAAAAGTAGATTCATATGTAGAAAGAGGGGCTATTCAGTTAAACCATAGCATCATTTATTAAGCTTCTACTATGTGCAGGGTACTTTGTTTTCTACTAAGAGATTTGTAAATGACATAATGTCTCTGATCTTGAGGAGTTTACACTCTAGCAAGAAATTTAAAATATATATAAAAAGGACAATCTAAAATATAGGATGTCCCAAAAGTCTTAGTGCTTTTTTTTAAAAAAGTTTAAACCTCAGCTCTATGAAATCTTGGAGTCCCCCACAAAGATTGATAGGTTTAATTATGCTATTATAGCATAAAACTTCACTAAGACTTTTGAAGTCTCCTAAATAACATAGTGCACAAAAGTTACATCATGCTATGTATGATTGATCCAAGAATAGAAAGATCTCATCCTCTGGATGGATCAGGGAAGACTTCCCAGGTTCTCATCTATAAAAAGAGGGGGTTGGGTGAGATGACTTCTAAGGTCCCTTCCTACTCTCCAATACCACAATACACTATTATAATCCTAGATCATATTTGAATTAAATACTAGACAGAATTGTAGTGGATGGAGAAGATAACTTGGTACAGGGTACTATAAACAAACAAATACAAAGACATAAAGTATCTTTTTCTTCCCTTCACAAGAAGACAGCTGTGTGACCAGTTTTTGATACTGACCCCTTTCCATTTTTCAGATGACCTGAACAAGGTAACTCCTCCAAAGGTGACTGTGTTTCAGCCATCTGAGGAAGAGATCGAGGAGAAGGGAAAGGCCACACTGGTCTGTCTGGCCACAGGCTTCTACCCTGACCTTGTGGAGCTGAGCTGGTGGGTGAATGGGCAGCAGACACAAGTTGGGGTCAGCACAGACCCTCAGCCATCCAAGGAGCAGCCTGATAACAACTTCTCCAACTACTCGATGAGCAGCCGCCTCCGGGTTTCTGCTCCCTTCTGGCGCAATCCCAAGAACAGTTTCCGTTGCCAAGTATTGTTCCATGGGATCTCAGAGGATGAGCCCTGGACCGGTAACACAAGCAAACCCATCACCCAGAATGTCAGTGACCAGATCTGGGGAAAGGCAGGTGAGAAGTATCATGAGTAGAGGCCTAGGGAAAAGGTAGTCCCACAGAAGAAGGTTAAAGACATAAAAGTAAGGAGAGGGAAAGGAAAGAACTAATAAGAAGATCAAGAAATGAAGAGAGAAGCAGAGTAGACAATGCCTGGATAATCAGAGAAGCAAGGAGAAAACAATCCTTTCCCCTAGGAACTTTCCATGATAAATGGGCCTGAGAGGCAAAAAGGCTCCTTAGGTTAATAAATAAACTAATAATAGCTAACATTTATATAGCATTTACTATGTGCCAAACACTGTGCTAAGCATTTTACATATATTATTTCATTTGATCCTCACAACAATCCTGGGAGATAGGTCTTATTATTGTCCCCTTTTTACAGATGGGGATATTGAGGCAAACACAGAGTAGGTGATTAGCCAAGGGTCACATAGCTAGTAAGTATCTGAGATCAGATTTGAACTCAGATCTTTCCTACTCCAGGCCTGGCACTCCAACCACTGAGCCAACTAACTACCCAATTTCCTACTAAAGTGAAGCTGTACTACTTCTGTGCCATATGGACATCTGCTTAGTGCTATCCTCCTTCCTAGTCTCTATCAGACCTTCACAGAAAGAATCTCCAGACTAAAAACCTATTTGGTTCAGCAGTCTATATGGAGTCACCCTGAATTTAACCTCCCATTTCCCTGAGAAAATAGTGATGATTTATTTTATAGATGCAAGCTAAGAGAGAATCAAGTTTGCAAGCATTTAATTTGAACTACAACTTCCTGGTATTGTGGTAGATGCTGGGGATACAAATAGAAAAGTGAGACAGTCCAAGCAACTTACATTCTATTAATTCCAGGACCAGGACTGTATTTGGAGAGAACTGAGGGATTTACATTTTTAGAACATAATATTTATTTCTTTGAGAACATGGGTGTGCACTAACTTGCATGGCCACCCAAAATAAAAGCCTCTTTGAGAAAGCTGGGACCAATTACATATCTCCCCCAATTTTCTCTTTCAGATTGTGGAGTCACCTCTGGTAAGTGAGCCTCTCTTTTCATTTTCCCCATTCAATGACCCTATTCCTGTGGCTACAGTCTATGGAGGGAGCCCATGGGTACCGGGTAGCTACTTGCTTATCCCCTGACCCAGCAATGATGGGAACATAAGGCTGGGGAGGTCAGCTTTAGTGGGGGGGTCTTTGTCCCCACAGAGTCTTATCAGCGTAGTATCCAGTCTGCCACCTTCTTGTATGAGATCCTGCTGGGGAAGGCCATGCTGTACGGCCTGCTGGTCAGTGCCCTGGTGTGGAGAACCATGGTAAGTGAGGCAAAGGGGAGGGTCAGACAATCTTGAATGAACAAACCCAAGGGAGTATGAGAACCCCTTGGGTCACTGACGGAGGGGGAAGCCACAGGTCTGGGGGCATCCTCCAGGAATTCCACCTATTTCTATAAACTCACATTTAGTATTATGGAGAATGGAAAGATTCAGGGAGAGTTTGAAAAAAGGGAGTGAGTTGATGGACCCTAATAAAAATCTACCTAGAGTTTTCCTTTCAGAGGCTGTTTAGGGACAGTCTCAATTTCTGAGCTTCTTGTCCATAACATGCTCCCTCCTTCAGTCTCACCGCAACTCCTAAGTTCATTGAAAGCCCTGACAAGGCCCAATTGTGTCTCTTCCTCAGGCCAAGAAAAAACATTCTTGAAGTCAGCTGTGGACCTGGAAGCAGGGAACCAGGAGCCCGGGGCCTTCATCCTCTCATCAGCCCAGCTTGGCTTCTCCTTTATTCATTTCCAGCCTGCATTCCGGAAGAGGTGCTCTTCCTTCTCTCCTCATCTTCATCCCTCATAGATTTCCTCAAAGAGAACTACACAAGCCAAAAGGGACAAAAGCGGTGTATTAATCTTAAAGCAATAAAAATGTCCTGGTGTGATCTCACTCAACCACTGCGTGTTGGTGGCTTATCTTTATTCCTGGCTTACGTGCTATAGACTTAGTCACAATAGATGTTTCTAGGAGGTAACTGACAGTAATTTAATGAAAATATCCTCTAGCAGAAGAAGGGAATCACCATGCTATTTACATGCCCCACCCTGTTTCCAGGAACAACCTCTTCTTTCTCTAAACAAGTAGTGCAGGAAGGCAAGTCCAGCAAACATTTGTTAAATGCATACTGTTAGGTGCTGCAGTGGATAAAGGGCTGAGTCTGGAGTCAAGAAGATCTGAGTTCAAATTTGGCCTCAAAGACTTAGTAACCGTGTAAGCCTGGGAAAGTCACTTAATCCTTATTTGCCTCAGCTTCCTCCACTGTAAAATGAGGCTAATTATAGCACCTACCTCTCAGGATTGTTTGTGGGGATCAAATGAGATACTATTTTTAAAGTGGTTAGCCCAGCACTTGGCACATAGTAGGTGCTATACAAATGCTTATTTCTTTCCCCTTCTACTCTACTATGCACTAAGATTTGTAATAGGCACTGGCAATATAAAGATAAAATGAAATCATCTCTGCCCTAAAGGAACTTACATTGGCTCCAAACATACCTTTCCAATCTAATTATACAAGGCACCCCAAAGATTTTACTGATTTAAAACTACACTAAGACTTTTGGAACACTCTGTGTATCATTCCCCTTCCCTTCCCAGAATGTGCACATCTAGCCAAACTGACCTTCTTATACACACTCTATTTACCATTTTTGCATCTGTGCACTGATTGTCCCTCATACTTGGAATGCCTTCCCTGGTCACCTCCATCTGCTAGATTCCCTAGTTTCCTTCAAAACTCTCCTCAAATATCACTTTCTGCATGAACTTTTCATAATCTTATCAACTGCTAGTGCACTCTGTCCCTTATAAATTTATCTTTTATTTATTTTGCATATGTTTTGTATGAACTTTTTCATTCACCTATTGTCTCCCATTATAGAATGTAAGCCTCTGGAGGGCAGGTACAGATTCACTTTTGTCTTTGTGTCCTTAATGACTAGCAGGATGCCTGGCACAAAACAGGTATTATCAAAGATTGTTGACACATAGGTTTATTGTACCTTCTTTAGATTACCCCCTTTGAAGATGCAAACAAGAGCCATTTTATAGGTGTTGAATGTAAATGAGATGATTGCAAGTGTAAATTCCTAATGTGTAAGAAATCCACTCACAGTCTGATTGGACTTTTTCATCTCCTGTACAGAAATAACAAGATTCATAAAGACTATTAGGAGATTCTAAACAAGAGATGAAAAAATCTCTTCCTGAATACTTTAAAGAGAGAATGATCAGCTTTAATTAGAGCAGAATTTGGGGAGTAGTTGGGGGTTTGGTTGCAATTTGAAAGCTGAGAGGTAGGAGACCCAATAGAAATGATTTCAAGGAGATCCCAGTGAGTAGATCATCATGGGCTGCTTCCCATTTGAGTTGTGCTTGGGCTTTTTCAGAGAAGAGGCTGAACTCTGTAGGAGTTCATGGTAAGAGTTTGAGAATTCAGTGTAATAATAGCCCTGGAAGGGTTAGACCCTTCCAGAAGACTGGAGATCTTCTGGTCCAATTCCCACATTTTATAGATGAGGAATTTGAAATAACCCCATTCCCAATACAACTTGCTTTGTACCCTTTTGGAGTACCCCTTCAGAGCTATAGATAAGAGATATCAAATATGGCTAAAATGATGTAGTGACTAGCCCAAAATGATACAATATCAGATAAATAGTAAGCATTGGTGTCAGGACTAGAATCTGGATCTCCTAATACCAGGTAAGTAGGCATCTGCTACACCAATATACCAAGCTGCCATGAAAGACTTAAGGTTCAAAATATACCACTTCACCAGGACACTTATTGTGAGTAGGAGTTCTCAAGCTGGAGTCCATGAACTGCTCCTCTCCACCCAGTGGTCCATGAAGAGATTTCAGGGGTTTATGAACTTGGGTGGGAAAATATTTTAATAACCATTTCATTATGATTGGTTTCCTTTACAATTCTATTTTTATTCACTTAAATACATTATTTTGAAAAGGGATCCATAGGATTTACTAAATTGCCAAAAGGGGCCCATAACACAAAAAAGGTTAAGAATCCTTGAGTATTGAAAAAGAAGATTACAATATATTATTGGTCCTATCCTGCTTGTATCAACATTTGACAACTGGTCTTCTCCGGCTTCTCTTCGAGTAGGGTATACTTTTAAAAAATATACTGAGTGTCCCGAGCTTATTGCACCAAGACTTTTGGGATACCATGTGTATTCATAGTTTTTATTTACTCAGAATGCAATGGAGCTGAAAGATACCGGACTGTTAATAAACTCAGGGTGAAACTAGGAAGTTAAATCTTTTGTTACACTACTTGTCTTGAGGACTTCTTGGAGTAAAGAAGACCTGGTCTGATCTACCTATTCAAAGAAGGTGTGAACCTTGACATTCTTCATGTTAAAATAATTTGGCTGATGAGTCCCTCCTGAGAAAGTTTACTTATCTATAAGAGAAGGGAGCCAAGAATTTTGATCCCAAGATTATAGCCCCAAAGAAAAATCCCTCACTTTTATCCTTGAGTGCTAATGGAAAAATTGACTAATGACAAAAACATGGAACATTCTAGTCAGGGTGGCAAGAGTAAATAGTAGTTTGGGGGTTAAGGGAGTATTTGAGAGCTGGATGGTTGTGTAGATGAGGTAAGAGGAGAGAAAGCAGACTAAGTCAGTGCTGAAGTAGGGGATAAGACATAATGAGAAAAGATCTTTGTGGAGATAATAGTAGACATAATAATAAATAGAAAGCAAAATTAATAATAATGATAATAATAGTTTACAATTATACAGAATATAAAGAATTATAAAGAATCCATTCCTGAAGAGGGATGTAGGCTTAGGGGCCAATAAAGATGTTGGCATCAAGGTTCATAGACTTAGAGCTGGAAGGGATATTAGGAGGCCCACCAAGTTTAAATTCTCAATTTCAGAAAGAAGGAAATAGAGACCAAGAGAAGTTAACAACTCACCCAACGTCACCCAGTTAGTAAGTGGCACAGACCAAGAAATGAACCCAAATCCTCTGATTCCAACTAAAGGGCAGCTAGGTGATACAGTGTCTCAGACACTTACTAGTTGTGTGACCCTGGGCAAGTCACTAACCCTGTTTGCCTCAGTTTCCTCATCTGTAAAATGAGTTGGAGAAGGAAATGGCAAATCATGTCAGTATCTTTGCCAAGAAAACCCCAAATGGGGTCATAAAAACTTGGACATGACTAAAAAATGACTCGACAACAACAACCTGTAATTATAAATCTAGTAATTTTTCCCACTGTACCAGCAGAAAGGTGAGCAGGTATAGAATTTGTAGGATAGGGTTTCCAGTCAATTTTGGTGGGATGCTTCCTAATGCTGATAGACAGAAGTAGGAGATGGGAGGAAAATTTAATAGCGTAATTGCTTCTCATACTTTATATGTAGGGGAAGCAATGTGAATAGTGAAAATAGTCCTAGATTTATGATGCTGGGCAAGTCAGTCTGTCCGGTTCTGAGTACCTTCATTTGTAAAACAAAGGATTTTGACTAGATTGCCTTTACAATCCCTTCCAGATCTAAATGTATGGTCTTAATGTACTGGATTCCATTTTTCTACAAGGTGGAAATCCTAAGAAAAAAATCCTTCCTTACCCCTACCTCAACAGTTTATCAATATGCACACAGTATTGGGGAGGAAGTAAACATAATGTGACTCTAGACTTATCTGTTGACATAAAGCCCAAATATCCATTTTCTACAGTTGACCCACCTCCTAAGATCTTTATGAACACAGGACTTCCTTATCCCACTGGAAAAGAGTAAGTATGAAAAATAGACTAATGAGAGAAATCCTATAGAGGAGACAAAGAGGAAAAAATATTTATTATTGAGTTTAGCGTTTCTCTTAAATGAATAAGATATATTGCAGAGAATTGCAAAGGAAACCAGTTATAGTGAATTTAAAAAATGTCATTTTTCCATTGAAGTTCACTGAAAGCTGTAAGGAGCCTATGGACCCCTAGGTTAAAAATCCCTAATCTATTAATCTAAAAAAGGAGGATAGTAGGATAAGATTTATCCTTTTGTCAATATTATTGAATAGGGAAGAAGGTGCTCTGACTGACTGATCCTAATATTATGGGTGGGTATATTGTCATAGTGGACAAGGCTGCAGGAAGAGATGATAAATTTAGAGCTAAGAAGGACTTAAGAATTTAACTAGTCTAGCTCCATCATTTTTATTCATTCGAGGAAAATTTGCCACAGTGCCACAAGAGCAGAACTAAGATTTGAACCTAGGTCTTTTGACTCTAATTCCAGCACTGTTTCCACCCTACCCTATTGATTGGTATGATGGAGCTATCTCAAGATCATCCAGCTTCCTTTAAGGAAAAAAAAGGGAAAAAATAACCATGTAAAGTAAATTAGCTACTCAAATAAGTTTCTGTCTTGGGAAGAGACTGATCAGCAGATATAAACATTCATGTTTGCTTAGCAAGCACTTCTCCCAAAGAAGAAATTCATCTCCTGTGTTTCTGGTTACTGCTACTCAGTCTCCAAGGATCTGGTCATTTCTGGGTAATAGGAGAAAAGCAGGTTTCTGAATCCACAAAACTGAAGGATAGAATACCTTGAATTCCTGAAGTTATCATCCATTGGGAAGAGTAGACCCAGACCTATAGATAATGCACAATAAAAAAAATTGGAGGGGCCAATGAACCTTAGTGGAAGTAAAGGTGGGTTGTGGGAACTGTATATTTAGTTGGGGGTGAAAGTCAATATATCTCTGCCAGCCTCTCTGGTTAGTTCAGAGGGCTGCAGTTATGTGGTCGAGATATAGTTCTATCAGCAGTAAATTGAAGAGGTTCTGTGATGACTCACCCCCATTATTTGGACCTGACTCATGGTGTAAGAGAGATTTTATGTGCAGTCATGTCTAGG